TTAAATGATATTTTTTGTAAATTTCAAAAAACATTAATTAAAAGTATTTAAATTCTAAATTATTATTAATTAATATATGTTAAAAAATAATTAATATTAAAAAAGTAATGCATTAATAATTTATAATTAATTATTTTTTAATTTATGTGAAAATTTTAAAACATCAATCTTCATGAAACGTATGGAATAATACTCTTAGAATGACTGGAAGGAGAGTATTAAACGGTGGGACCTACCATCACCTCCTAGAAAGCCCAATAATAGAAGTCTTTGTCTCTCGGACCCATGACAGCTGCCCTTGTACCCCATTTTCCCTACCTTTTGTTCTTTATTTACAAACCTGTCCTCGACACGTGTAGCGATCCTAGCTCGTACACCAGCTAAAGGTACGAATTTTTGGTGCTACGTGGCGGTTAAATAAAAGATCTTAACTCTTAAGGGGTATTAAAATATGTTGTTTACTATTCCTACGGCTAGAATTTGATCTAAGGGAATCGTTAGATATTGGCCGTAGATAGATTTCAAATGGTGTAACTCTAGGCTTTAGCCATTAGCTATTTTCCTTTTAAGGGTTGTTGAAAAGGTACGTAGTAGGAATTATATGACATAACCAAAATCTTAACTTCAAGTAATTTATGGTTAAGCCGGTTTAAGTCAAGAACCGGCTTTTCCAATTCAGCTGATCTAGGCTAACAAATTAATCTATTGAAATTAATCATGGTACAATCGGCTTTCTATGATAACCGGTTTAAACCAATTAAAGTCAAATCACTGATCTAGTCTAACAAATCAATTGGGAAAAAAGAAATCGGTTTATTTTAACCGTAACAACTTTCTTGTTTTGGCCAAATGAAAGAAAACAAAATGATTGAGCAAATAAAAAAAACAAGAATTGCCATGTCATATTTGTCCTGAAAAGTGTTGTCATTTATGTGAGCTAATTAAGTAGTGCCATGTGTACAACTCCACGTAAAACTCTGTAATGACGTTTCAGAGTGGGTCATTTTGGCCCAAACTAGGCCCATAATAATGGGTTTCGTAATAAACGAATCCGTAAATCTTTTTCAATATATCGGTGGCAAGATGGATCGCCGGGAAAACAGTGACCGGCGATTTCTGCTATGGTTCTTCGCCGTAGCCACCACCGTGAAACTCCTTCTCATACCGTCTTACAGAAGCACAGATTTCGAAGTCCACCGTAACTGGCTCGCAATCACACACTCTCTTCCCCTTTCGAAATGGTACTTCGACGAGACAAGCCCATGGACACTCGATTACCCTCCCTTTTTCGCTTACTTCGAACGCTTCCTCTCGATCTTCGCGCGTCTCGTTGATCCCAGAATCGTAGATCTTCAATCAGGAATCGATTACAACGCCGAATCTGTGATTTACTTCCAACGAATCAGCGTGATCGTCTCGGATCTCTTTCTTCTCTACGGTGTTTACAGATTGACTCGAGGATTGGAACCAGTGAAGCGAAATCTGATCTGGGCATTGGTGATTTGGTCTCCTGGGTTATTGATCGTAGATCATGTTCATTTTCAGTATAATGGGTTTCTTCTGGGTTGGTTATTGCTTTCGATTTCGTTTCTTCAACAAGGTAGAGATTTGCTTGGTGGGTTTTTGTTCGCCGTTCTTCTATGTTTCAAGCATTTGTTCGCCGTCGCTGCTCCGGTTTACTTCGTTTATCTACTCAGGCATTATTGCTGGTCCGGTTTAGCTACCGGTTTCCGACGGCTTGTAACTATTGGTGCGGTGGTTGTNGCGGTTTTTGCAGCTGCTTATGGACACTTTATCTACCATGGACAGGTTAGTTTAGTTCTTCTTTCATTGTTGGAAGAAAAGTTGTTTTTTGCTTTCTTGTGTTATATTATCTACAATGTTGAGACAATGTAGTCAAATTCTTCAAGTACCTAGATAAATATTATAATGTGCTTGATATTTAGGAGTTAGATTTTTCACTGTTTGATTCGAACAAAGAGTTAGATGTTGTTGGAAACTTGATGTTGTAGAGCTTATTTCAAAACTTTCTTTTGTAAAGCAGAAGTAGACATTGTTACGTGTTGATTTCATGAGTGATTTGTCCTGTTTTCAGAGAAAGCCAATGGAAATCTAACCTAGTTGAATCAGTTAACCTGTGTTTGTCAAGTCTAACCTTTTCTTGATTAGAGTTATTGAGAAAGCATTCTTATTATGGTAGGTTTCTTGTTTGTTTTTCTCGTTGTGTTGCAGATACAGCAAGTCATCAAGCGAATGTTTCCTTTCGGTAGAGGACTGTGCCATGCATACTGGGCACCTAATTTTTGGGTTTTCTATATAATACTTGACAAAGGGCTTGCCTTTTTACTACGAAAGCTCGGATTCGAGATTCAGATTCCATCTGCTTCTTTCACCGGTGGTTTAGTTGGGGATTCTTCGCCTTTTGCAGTTCTTCCTCAGGTACTGTTAACTATCACATTTTTGTCTGTCTACCTCTCGTGAATCTTCCGCTTGATCTTATTGCCATCGACTGGTATAATGACAGATCACACCATTGGCAACATTTGCAATGGTATTGCTTGCTGTAACTCCGTGTCTTCTCAAGGCCTGGCAAACACCACAGCCCGGGCTTGTTGCTAGATGGATAGCTTATGCATATACATGCGG